TGAAGGCTGGGGGGGGGGGGGGGGGGGGATATTTAATGAGCCTCTGATCACTTTATTATTTAAGCAAGAATTCGTGGAAATTAGATGTCTCCTGTGTCAACACTTTGACTATCAACTGTAATTAATTTGAGAATCAGAGCAAAGTAAAATTTAGCAATCAAGAGATATATTAAGATATATCTTTAGGGAAAGTTAAATTAGTGCCTGTGTGAATTTGTGGGATGGTTCAGCGGTCATTGTCCATACAATTGAAGGAATCCAGGTCATGACATTTTGTTAGTACAGTACTTAGATCAGGTATTAAATAGTTTTTTGCACACAAATGATCTGGAGTTACTTTTAAGGATAAGGCTGAACTAAAGCCATGGTACTTGGGTATGTTATGAAACAAGCAGTGTTAATGTTCTGTAGTGTATTGAAGTCGAGGGTGAACTAAGAGTAATAGTTGGGTTCAACGATCAACATCGGCTATAATAGGTAAAAATGTTTTTTTGAAAGTCATCTTTAAGTTCAGTAAAACTCAGGAATGTAATTTTGACTAGTAGGTACCTGGGGTGGCTTTCTTTAAACTTCCTCATATAAATGATATTGACTTACAACTACTTCATAAGTTGTGTGATTGCTATGTATGGAATTGAATTGATTGCATATGTTCTCTGCTTTTGTACAAGATATTTGTGAAGTATTGTGCAATATGTATATTTTGATATGCCTATATGCAATGTGCATTTGGTAATAAAATAAATTGTATTGAATTGACCTATTTCATCAGTTTCTTGGGCAGGAGGGAGAGGGGGTGACAGATTGTCATAGAGGGTTTAGTTTTCATTTGAAAGTGTGACTTTAGCTAGGTTACATGAAGATATAATCTATAGTTTTGTGGTAGCTAAGTTGTCATGAAGGTTAATCTGTCACGACACTGACCCATCTTTCTGTAATGTTTTACAGGAAGGATTAATTGAGCAATGTTCTTCTATGATGAAAGACACAATCAGGTAAATTTCTTCTTTATAGTTATAAATTATATAAATACACTATGTTGAAAATATCAGGCATTGTTAAGGTCAACTAAATTTCCTATTTATATTACAACTTTGTTATATAAATAGAAAAGCTAGCTGAACTTCGTTTTTTGAACATCCGACTGAAGTGCAATTTTGAGAAAAAACTTGATATCTTTTTCGGTCACAATTTCTCCCTAAAAATCAAAACCCATTTAAAAGTGACTGACATTATGTTAAATCTCTATTGTGAAATCTATCACTATTATTATACAAATGTATCAGTTTTAATGATTTGGTGTAAATTTCTGATTGTATTTGCTTTATTGGTATAAAGTGCCATCTTCTCCAGAAAAAAATGCAAACATGTATTATGGGATTGTTTTCTCTTCCTTCTAAAGATGTAACTCCAGTGACAGGCTGTTCTCTATAAAAAAAAAGTCAAATGTACTGAATTAAACATGATTTTACTGTGTTTTGATGAAGTCATTACAACACATCTCATGGCAACCCTTAAAACTTGATAAATATTTTACATTGACTTCACTATGCTCTTTATGGGTGGGGGGGGGGGGGGGGGGGGATGTCCAGCTTTACCATGTAACGTGCAGTCCTTTTATACTACTGTTTAAATTTGTATTTATTTCCCTTTTATGAAGTGGACAGACGGTGTGTTTGTACTACATTGCCAGTAGAAGGTACGCCCTCCAGACCATCACTCAGGATTGTCGTAGCTGGCTCCTCTCTAACCTACTGGCCAATGAAAGCACACAGCTCCTCCAGGGAGTAAGGTATATGTATAACCCATAAAACAACAGCTAAAGGAATTCTGTTTAAGTCTGTTGAATGTCTGCTTTATCACTCACGTTTTGTCAGTACTTTTTGTCACAGGTTTATGTCTCTACTTCATGTTTAATTATTCCGGTGTACCCCCCTGCAATGAAGTTAGGGGGAGGGTATACTGGAATCAGATTGTCTGTCCATCTGTCTGTCTGTAGACACAGTTTTGTCTGGACAACTTTTCCTACAGTTTTCAACCGAATTTCATGAAACTTCACTGAAGCAGTCATAACACACTCTGAAGTTATGCACCTGCAATTCAAATTTTGTATCGGCCACTTTTAAGGGAGTTATGCCCCTTTTTATGAAAGATAGCCAAAAGTTTGTTCAGGGCATATCTTCTATACTATTTATAATATAATAATAATAATAAAGGCTTTATTTATTCTTGATAGCTAATGAGCATGAAGCTCATCTTACATATGGTCAAGATACAATGCCTGGTAAAATGTACAATATTTACAGCTTAAGAAATATACAAGTATAAAATACAGGATAAGGGAGGAAATCATAAATCATTTCAAGTAAAATTGCTTTGCAGATCTCTTAAATTCTAAAACGAAGTACAATTTCCAATGTGACTTGGTAAAAGATTCCATGTAAGGGGTCCCTGATATTTAAAAGATTTTCTAAAAATGTTTGTCTTATGACATGGCAAGTAAAACACATTGGTAGATGATGATCTTGTAGTTCTACCCTGAACATCAGACATATACGTAAAATCATTCAAATTTTGTGGAGCTAAATTATTAAGTATCTTGTACATAAAAACTACTTGATTGTAAAAAATTCTTTTGTGAAAAGGTAACCAATTTAGTTTTTTGAACATATCACAGGAAGGTGTGGAAAAATCACATTTTAAAATAATTCTGGCTGCTCTCTTTTGCAGGCGTTCTAATTTTACAATATCATATTTTGAACTGTTACCCCAAACAGTTGAGCAATAATCCAGATGTGGGTTAACAAAGCAGTTAAAAAAGGTCATTCAAGATGACTGGCTCAAGAAGGGTCTCAACTTTCTCATCTGAAAAATTTGACATCTTTTTACAGACATTTGTAAATTGAATGTTCCAAGAGAGACAATCATCTATGGACACTCCCAAAAGTTTTTCACATTTTACATTTTCAATGTTTATGTTGTTGATAACAATGGACAATTCTCCGGTTAATTTACAATTTTTTCTGTGAAATAGTAACAAGCATGACTTTTGTTTTTTCTGTGTTTACACACATTTTGTTTTCATCGCACCATTTTGACACTAATTTAACATCAGCATTGAGGTTAGTATTTACAATGTCGAGTGATTTCCCTTGTGATTGCGCTGCGGTGTCATCAGCGTACATATACAAAGAACTTTGATTTGAAATCAGGGGCAGGTCATTTACATATAAAATGAACAAAAGTGGCCCCAATATTGACCCTTGAGGGACACCGACTGTAAGAGGGAGAGAATCACTCAAAGTGTTCTTAAAGTTTAAAATTTGAAATCTCCCACTCAAATAACTTTGAAAAAAGATCATTGTTTTGGATGAACACCCATACAATTCCAATTTAGACATTAAAATACAGTGGTTCACAAGGTCGAATGCCTTTCGAAAATCAAGAAATAGAACACCTATCAAAATATCTTTGTCTATAGCGTCATACCAGGTGTTTGTGATATTGGTCAGGGCAGTCTGACATGAGTGTTTTGCTCTGAAGCCAGATTGGCTATCTGTAATCAAATTGTGGTCAGACATAAATTCATAAACCTGGAGTAACTAGATTTGCTATGCAAGTAAATCTTGGGATGGCAGAGTTTCAAGTACAAAACACTAGGTCGCTGTGACCTGTGATTTGTTTAAGACTCCTGTGACAGTACTGGTATATAGCTGTTTCTGTATTGATTACAGCATTGATATGATGACAGACCTGATTATCTCCCCTGACCTATCTGTGATGCAGGTGGAAATGGATGTCTACACTCTGTTGAAAAAGGTATGAATATCTAACTAATACACTGACTTTATCAAAGATTATGAAAATTGCTATTCATTCAGATACACTTTTAATCTTTGTTCTGTTCTTAGCTCATCTGGGCCAAAGACATACATACCTTAGGTCCCTCCTCAGAGGATTTTTTCTTTCTGAGCAAACTCCTAGAGAGTGTAAAAAGTGTAAAACTTTTTGCAGTGTTTCCCTCAGTTCCATGATGCAGTAAAATATTTTTTATCAGTTAAATAAATACCAGGTATATTATGTAAAGTAATTCAACCAAATCACGACCTGCTGTATTCCCGAAGTACAACCACTACAATACCCTGACCAGTGACACTCACCCCAAAGTATAACCACTACAATACCCTGACCAGTGACACTCAACCCAGAGTACAACCACTACAATACCCTGACCAGTGACACTCACCCCGAAGTATAACCACTACAATACCCTGACCAGTTACACTCACCCCAAAGTACAACCACTACATTACCCTGACCAGTGACACTCGCCCCAAAGTACAACCACTACAATACCCTGACCAGTGACACTCGCCCCGAAGTACAACCACTACAATACCTTGACCAGTTACACTCGCCCCGAAGTACAACCACTACAATACCCTGACCAGTGACACTCACCCAGAAGTACAACCACTTCAATACCCTGACCAGTGACACTCGCCCCGATTACAACCACTACAATACCCTGACCAGTGACACTCGCTTGTTTAATTGGCATGTTCACTCAACCAATGGCTAGGGAATGTAGGGGTTATTTTAGAGGTGGTTAGCTACAGGTAAAGTTTGATTGTATTAAGTGTGGTGTTTTTAAATGTTATTTGTTGCAATATTTGCTTTAAATGCTATCGAAAGTTCTACACCAACTACACTGGGATTACAGATGCTTCATCTGTAGTCAATCTAAATACCAGCTTCGGATGCTGGATATGATCTATGGGGTTAGAAATTGAATGGCATATTATATTGTTTGTGGTACTGTTGTTGTTGTATTAACAGAAAGGTAGAATTAGGTATTAGGTATGTGAAGTCTATATCATTACTTTGTCTCAGTTATGTGAAGTCTGTATCCTAACATTGTCTCCAGTTATCCTAACATTGTCCCAGTTATGTGAAGTCTGTATCCTAACATTGTCCCAGTTATGTGAAGTCTGTATCCTAACATTGTCTCCAGTTATGTGAAGTCTGTATTCTAACATTGTCCTAGTTATGTGAAGTCTGTATCCTAACATTGTCTCCAGTTATGTGAAGTCTGGATCCTAACATTGTCCCAGATATGTGAAGTCTGTATCTTAACATTGTCTCCAGTTTTTGGAAGTCTGTATCCTAACTTTGTCCCAGTTATGTGAAGTCTGTATCCTAACATTGTCCCAGTTATGTAAAGTCTGTATCCTAACATTGTCTCCAGTTATCCTAACATTGTCCCCTAACATTGTCCCAGTAATGTGAAGTCTGTATCCTAAAATTGCCTCAGTTATGTGAAGTCTGTATCCTAAAATTGCCTCAGTTATGTGAAGTCTGTATCCTAACATTGTCTCTGTGGTCTATTTGACACAGTGGATGTTTGTCAGACTGAACCCTACCTGGTCAGGAACCAACAAAGACCTTACCACGGATTGTGACAACTTCTTCAAAGGCCCAACTAATTCAACAGGTACTAAATTTCTCCTAAACAAGAAAAACCTGGCTGTGGAAAATTGTTAAAAGTCAGAACAACTATTAAAAATTCCAATCACCCATGGCAAAAAGTATTGTGGTCTTGATGCCAATAATATTAACCAGATTCTTTTTTCTATTAATGAAAAGTGAAGTGAAGAATATAAATCAAGTGAGTTTAAAATGTGAATTTACCTATTAGTGAAGGGGGTAAATTTCATTACATGTTAATAAACCTGTAGAAGTTAACAGTACACTCAGCATTTTCATGGGATTATCTTGCTACTTGACTCCCATTGAACCATAATGTTATTTGCATCATATTTTGATATTTCCATAACTAAAATTTCTGTCATTGATACAGGAACAAATAATAATACAGCCTTTTTAACCACTAAAGATGGACAGCAATTTTTACTTCCTTTTTGTAAAATTCGATGGCAACATCTTTTGACTGATCTGGCTTCACTGAAGATCCTGGAGAAGGACAGTATCATTGATCTAGGTAAGAGCACCACCCTGTATCAGGACAGAATCATTGATCTAGGTAAGGGCACCACCATGTATCAGGACAGTATCATTGATCTAGGTAAGGGCACCACCCTGTATCATGACAGTATCATTGATCTAGGTAAGAGCACCACCATGTATCAGGACAGTATCATTGATTTAGGTAAGGGCACCACCCTGTATCAGGACAGAATCATTGATCTAGGTAAGGGCACCACCCTGTATCAGGACAGTATCATTGATCTAGGTAAGAGCACCACCCTGTATCAGGACAGTATCATTGATCTAGGTAAAAGCACCACCCTGTTCAGCACTAAGTTTATAACAATTGACAGCAGGTATTTTAGTAAGGCTTGGTTCCCTGTATCAGGGCCAACTGAGCTCGGTCAGGATATTGAAGAATTATATCATTGATCCTGTTAAGCACTAAATATTAAAAAAAAATATACCTGTATATCAAACGATTTCTAAAGATGGATAAGATCTAGAGTAATAACATTTGGCCTTTAGAAAATATAGGGATTGGGAGATCCAAGGTACATGCAAAGAGTAATACACGAGTCTGGGCCACGAATAGAAGAGTAATACACGAGTCTGGCCATGAATAGAAGAGTAATACACGAGTCTGGCCATGAATAGGAGAGTAATACACGAGTCTGGCTATGAATAGAAAAGTAATACACGAGTCTGGTCATGAATAGAAGAGTAATACATGAGTCTGGCCATGAATAGAAGAGTAATACACGAGTCTGGCCATGAGTAGAAGAGTAATACACGAGTCTGGCCATGAATAGAAGAGTAATACACGAGTCTGGCCATGAATAGAAGAGTAATACACGAGTCTGGCCATGAATAGAAGAGTAATCAAAAGGAAACGATGACCATGACAACATCGTGCTGGGTATAACGCTTTAATCTAAGTTTATGTTGACTAGATTTGACACACGTGGTGTGTCGTCATCAGAACAAATTAAATATAAAAAGGGAGATATAAGATTAAAAATGCAGTGCCTAACCTGGTAACAGTATAATAACATGGTTTGCTTGAATGATGTAAAATATAATCCATACTAGGAGGATTCCTAGAGTGCCGTCACATGGTTGCATTATTCATAAATAACAGAACTTATCTGAAGTTTTATTATTTTATCTTGCTAATACTGAAATTATTCTATATTGTATAGATGGTTTACGTTGTTTCCATCTACATGTATTACTTTTGTTAGTAGCTATTTATTCATTCTAACACATAGGACTGTTTATCGTTGTGTAGACTTCACTGCTATCCTAGCTTGTGCAATGAACACTGACTATTAATTCCCGCATTTTTGGCCAGCCCTCCCTCTTATTGATGACGTCATTTGATAGTGCATTATGGTCAGCCCCTGGTGAAAGAACTGGTTACTGTATATCAAAGTAAATGTAAGATATTGTATGTAGAGTAGAAACAAAGAGCACTGAAAAGATAGCTGTGGGAAGTTACCATTAATTACCTAATCTGTATCATTGATGGCAGATGATTTGATTTTCAGATTGGATAAGATTGGGCTTTGAACATCAATGGAAAGAAATGCTGAAAATGGAACAGGGACAAGATTCTGGGTAAATAGTCTGAACTGATGTTGGAGAATTACTATGCTGTATATAACGGAGTCACTATAAAGCTTCTTTTTGTAAGCTCACATGGTACAACCATCCAGCGAGTTAAGACATGTCAGGCATCAGTGACAGTCTGTTGTAGTTAAGACATGTCAGGCATCAGTGACAGTCTGTTGTAGTTAAGACATGTCAGGCATCAGTGACAGTCTGTTGTAGTTAAGACATGTCAGGCATCAGTGACAGTCTGTTGTAGTTAAGACATGTCAGGCATCAGTGACAGTCTGTTGTAGTT